TATACAAACATTTGTAAAGTATGTTATCCCATAAATTGTGGCTATACGTATGGCTCTATTTAATATGACAGTCTGGGAGTACAAAATTAAAAACTCCAAATGATTTTTATAATTAATACATACTAGTGAACATGAGTAATCTTTTTAACCTTTAATCTGTGATTCAAATAAGAAGCATCAAATTTGATGCAGGAGATGGAAGTATACTTTGTTGTACGTTTATGTACATATATAATGGGTGAGGACCTATTGGTGTTTATTTCCACCTATTTCGTAGATGGAAATCCATGCTTTAGTTAAGTCAGGTTGCATTGCACCTTCTCTGCTATTCGCTACTGGTGAATTTGGCCTTCTGTGTTATAATGTTTTAATTCAGATACTTCCCTTTTCTCATGTCTTACATCCAGAAGAGGTCGGCTGTGTTTTCCCCTGATAACATGTGTTTTGGTCATGGCTGAGTTTAGGCTGCTTGGCATCCATCCTCAATGTTCAGCTGTCAATGGGTGGCCTCTGGACTTTCTTTTTATCTGTAAGGAAGGTTAGAAATCAGAAGCCTTCCATATGACTGATCAGTACCCAACTACCATTTTCAAGAATTCTGATAATCTTTAACACCCAGAGATGAGACCTTCCTTTGGATAGTACTGAGATACTCAAAAGTCATCCAACTTGTAGCATTTTTCAGCAGTGGGATCACTTGTTGTAGTTAGCAAGCCAGGATGAGCTATAAATAAATGAAATCTTACAGAGCTTGCTTCCTTCATTCAGGGTAGTCTGCTGATAAGATACAAGTATCTGGCAAAAGAGAAGATTCTCAGCAGGTTTAAGTGCTTACCAAAGTGCTTTCCTGTATCCATGGCTCAGCTTCTAGTCTCTGCTGTGTTATTTTGGCACTCTAGACTTGTAAGATTGGAGAGTCAAGTTTAAAACTCTCAATATATCATTAGGGTAGCCCAAGGTCCCTTGTCAAGGAAGACTAGCTGAGACCAGGGGGAAGGAAAAGCAGAATCCAGGGCACCTGTAAATCCCTGTAGTTTTGTGCTGTGGGTTTGTAGCTAATTATACAGTAGGCAACAGTAATATGCTGTATCTCTGTTGGTGTACTTGTTTCAGAAAGAGCAAAATCTTCCAGCAGAGCAAAGAAGGGGCTTTGGAGGGGCTGCAAATGAATGAAGCAATGATCATTTTATCATAAACTAAAGCCCTGCATAGAATCAGGCCATCTGAACTGCAAGGAGATGGTGGGGAGATGCCAATAGAAATACATAGTTCAGATGGTTTTTACAGCTCTTGATTTGGATTCTTCTGCAGAAATATAGTCACGCAAAGAGACCACCACTGGTCACAGCCAGTCAAATTGCTCTTTCTCTTATGGTACTGCTGTTAGGTGGCTGCTAGTAGGTTATTCAGCCGACCTCTTCTGATTCTGCTTTGCTGCCTGATTTCAAGAGTTGCCCATACTGGCTTTCAGTCACAGCTTGATGTAACCATTGCTTGTTTGCATGCATCCCCATCATTTTCATATAGGGTCTTTTTTTTCTTCTTCAAGTTAGGAAGCAAAAGAATCAGGAGCATTTTTATATGATAAAAGATTTATGTAGGGCCAGCTAGAATCAAGCCAAATGAAATTCAGCTGGAAGGCATGGTAAAAAGGCTCACAGAACTTGTGGCTGCCAGAGAAGTCAGTGTTTCTTAAATTAAAGAGGGTTCAGCTAGCAGGAGGCAACTCTGACTTTGCATTCATATTGAAGCAAGCTCTCTAGCCATTCTGGGCAGGCAGAGCAATAAAATCAGAGGTGACTTAATGCCAGGAACCTCAGAATTTCTCTTGTCCTTCTCTAAAATCTATATTGATGTGGAATGCTAACTTGAAGAGATGAGAAAATGCCAGGTCTAGATTGTGGTTTATGACACCATATTGAACAATGCCTTGGAAAGCATCCTCTTTGGTTTCTTGGTTATCATGTCTGTAAAATGAAGCTAAGCTACTAGAAGGAAAGTGGTTCTAATATTTATCAAATGTTGTAAATGAAGATTCATTATAATAAGTATTTTGAATAGCCCAAACAGCAGATTATAAGAAGCGAATTTATATCCCATTTATGTATTTGAAAATATACTTGATTGCCTTATCACTGATTGAGCAATTTGACGGTTTTTTTTTTTTTTTTTTTTTTTTTTTGAGACAGGGTCTCACTTTGTCATCCAGGCTGGAGTGCAGATGCATGATCTTGGCTCACTGCAACCTCTGCCTCCTGGGCTCAAGTGATCCTCCCACCTCAGCCTCCTGAGTAGCTAGGATTACATGCACACTGTGTGCCACCACACTTGGCTAACTTTTGTATCGTGTGTGTGTGTGTGTGTGTGTATGTAGATGGGTTTTGTGATGTTGCCTGGGCTGGTCTTGAAGTCCTGGGCTCAAGTGATCCACCCACCTCAGTCTCCCAAAGTGCTGGGATGACAGGCATGAGCCACTGTGCCTGGCCTAATTTGACTATTTTTGCATGATGGGTGTGCAGTGGAATGTGGCAAATTTTGTTTTCAGCTACATAAATGGAATATTTGACTCCTGTGCAATTCTTCTCTTAGTCGTTTTTTTTTGGGGGGGGGAGTACAGTCTGTTAATCTAGTTTTCTGGTGTATCACAGTAGTGTGTGATATTCTACATTTGTCATTTGTCATATTCTTAACTTGACCATATAGCCCTTGTATAGGATGAAAAATATGTCGTGGCCAGGTTTGGTGGTTCACACCTATAATCCTAGTACGTTGGGAGGCTGAGGTAGGAGGATCACTTCAGCTCAGGAGTTGGAGACCAGCCTGGGCAACATAGTGGGACCTTGTCTCCATTTCTTAAAAAAAAAACAAAAACCAAAAAAAACATATAAATAATTATGGACATGGCTAAATATTTACCTGTTAATAGACAGTTTTTCCTTCCTTCCTTCCTTCCTTCCTTCCTTCCTTCCTTCCTTCCATCCATCTCCCTTACATCCCCACAGATTCTTTTTCTACCAAAATAGATAAGCTGACTCTAAACCTACTTACATGATTGATTTGGGACCATTCCTTTAAAAATTAGAGATGTTGGGAGTTTTTGCTTTTTACCCCACACTGTGTAGATGGTGCATAATTCTTATAACAAAGCAGCAGGGGGCTCGCTGTAGGAGCTTGAGAGTTGCTGATGGAGAAAGCCTGGCTTTTTGTTGTTATTGGTGTTCTTTTAAATTCAGGCCTTTTTCTACTGAAAACGTGGCCTTCATCCTGTGAAGACTCCCAAAGGGATTAGAATGTAGCTACAGAAGCATTTAGATTAAGAAATTTGTTAACATTTGAGAGAGATTATACTGGTTTCTAAACTCCAGAAACCTGGATGAATGGAATCTGAGGTTTCTTTGGTTGCAGAGTTTTCTCTGAACTGAGATTCATGATAAGAAACTGTGCAGGTGGCCTCTTTCTTTAGCATCCTTTATATCTTAAAAGGAAGATTATTCTCATTAGCATCTGCAGTTAGTTTTCTATTCAGCTGTACCTCCCTCTGTTCTAGAACCTGTGCATACTTTTTCTGTATTGATCAGGCCCAAGTGCATTATAACTAAGGATTTCTTGTAAAAAATAAAGCCCATTCTCCTGAGTGAGAGGCCCAAGGAATCCAAAACAGCAAAGGTTCAGGTATCTGCACCCGGAGGTTGCTCTTGCTGCCTTATGAATTCACTCCGTGATACAGGTTTGATGCAAAGAGCATTTCTACTCACAAATCACATGAGGTATACAGTTTGTGTGCAGTGATATGTCACAGTTTTTTATTTATATGGCCTGCTCAGTCTATTCTGCTCCTTCCACTGCCAAGGAAAGTGCATCATTTTCCTCCCTCTATCTTCCTTCCCACATATCATCAGCACCACCCACTATGTTCTGCCCATTAAGTCCTCTGTGTGCTAGAAAACCCCAACAGTGATTAAATGCTGATAAAAGAATGTTAGAAGGTTAAGATATCAACTGATCAGCCCCCTTACAATGCCCCTAAATTGTAAGTATTACTTTGCCCACTTAACATTGACAATAAAGGTTTTTATTTGTTTGTTTTTTAGTTGTGGAAATCTTTTAGAAAGAATTAGTGGCAAAGGCCTAAGAGAATGTGGGAGATATGCCTTGTAGTTTCCTGTTCTTATGGTGGTCTTTCTTTCATGATTTTGGCACATTCTCTATAAGGAAATTCTACGGTAGTCAGATTTAGATAAGGTTTTATTTATGAGAGGCCTAGAGTTTTTAAACTAAAATCATTATGATCCTAAACTCATTTAATTACAAAGTATTAATTAATTTTAACAACTTATACTGCTCTGATCATAGAATCATTTATCATAATTTTCTGTTCTTTTAAGCTGCTAAAATACAGTACCCTCTCCCCTGCTCTCCTTCATGGGAGGAAGAGGACAGTTAAAAATACTTAAAATAGGTAGCTGGGAAATCAGATTCCTGGATACTTTTCTTTGGTGGAGAATTTGTAGGTCCATGACATATCCTGGAAAAGTGATTAAGGTAGGAGGAGCTGTGGAATCAACTTCCCTGGACCTCCTTATTACACCTTCAGTAATAGGAACAAGAAAGAAGAGTCTCTAAGAATCAATCCTGTCAAGAATTATATTTCCTGTTGAAGCTTAAGTTAATATACCATATCATATAGCTTAAATTAATTTTCATCAGCCTGTTTTACCACTACTCTGCATTATTTTTTTTGTAAGAGAGCTATTTTTTAAATCCATGGTAAATACATTTTGACCCTTTCCATCAACAGCTGCTGTGGTGAGGTAGGTTAGGAGCATGCCTGTTTGGAGGCACCCTGGGGTTTGAAGGGTAATGAGCACGTAATTATGTCTGCTGAATGCCAGAGCTGCCAAACTGGAGCTCCTCATGACTGGTCTGTATCTGCTCTGACAATTCTTTTATTATGGCTTTCACTAACCTATCAGTAACTAACTGTGGTTGTTTAATTACAGAGGGAACATCCCCACGCTAAACAGGTACCGTATGTTTAGTTTCTTTTCCAATTAAAAGCACCTTTATGTATCTTGGAATAGTGAAACCAGGAAAAAAATAACATAACACTTGACATGATAATGTGTTATCTGCTAGGGAGTCCTGAGCTCCCCTTTGGACATACTGAATTATTCTTTCTGTTTGGAAAACATGTCTTCAGCTGTTCAAAAAGCACTACTTGAAAAGCCTCAGTATGGAGAAGCTCCCGTCTAGCTGTGTGTGATAGGGGGTTTGCTGCCTTATGTTCAACCTTGCTAGCAACATCTTGTTTTGCTAAGTTCTCTGTGTAGTTTGGGGCTTTCAGAGGAGAAACCCTTAAGGTTACTCCTATCCTGGCAAATTATTCACAGTTTTTACAGTTTCTAGTTTCTTGAATTTGCTTCTCCTTTCAGAGGAGTGCAGATCCAGAAATAGCTGATTTCATGTTTTGTCAGTTTGTTAGTTAATTTTCTAAAGTGTTACAATAATAGTCAGCTTTTATTTCAGACCTATAATAAGATTAACATTGGAAAAGTATATAGCCCTGTGAAGAGGTTTCCAGGCTAACATAACACAAGTGATATTTTAGTAGTTTGGGTTTCTCCTGTCTACTGAACCAAGCAAGGCAACACAATGCAAGTTTGAGAGGATAGCAATTCTGATTGGAATTGAATCCACAAAATGCAAAAGCAATAATAAGTTGATGGCAAGGTCTTTGTAGATAATCACCGACACAAGAAACTATTAATAGATTTACATTTATTTTGTCCCTCTCCCTTTAAAATATTAAGTAATCAAAACTAATCTTAGCTTTTGGATCCCAATTTGGATGTGGAGAGGAAAAGGAATGCTTTTAATTGGTCTTGTAATCTTCCCTTGGTGAGTGGGGTTGGCTCATTGCTGCCTGCCTTCAGCCGCCCTGGTCCACAAGCATGGTAGCGAGGGGAAACTGAATAGTCAATATTTCCCATGGGGTTCAGTTGAGTGAAAAAGCTACTTAACCCCATGGTTGCCACAAACATAGCTTGTTAGCTTCTTCAGAGGGAGTTCCCTTTAAATGTTGTCTGGAACCCTTTTATCTTTCCTGTCTAATGCCAAGCAGGTAGAAAAGATACAATGCCTCACAAACTTGCTCTTCTAGTAAATGCATTTGGTGATCCTAGAAAAGAGGAGGATGATAGCACTTCTGCGTTAATACAACTCTGAATCCCAGTTTCTAGTGAGCACCATGTGTAAGACTTGCTTGATGTGTGTTTCATTTGTTTGTTTCATTCATGGTATCAATGGTTTCCTCTCCCACTTTGCCTTTGACTCCCAAGTACTGTCAGAAGATGATGTACCTTTTCCATAATCACTCACCAAAGGAATAAAAACCTGGAGTGTTAGTCTCTTTAGTCTGTGTGAGCAGCACTCCCATCCTATAAGGAATTCCATTGCCTTATTATGATTTGCGATAGGGTACAATATGTACCATGATCTCAAGTCCATGTTACCGTCTCTCTTCCCCCTGCAACACCGCAGGTGGTATACTTCAAGGAGATTTTGGGGGCACTTCCCCAAAGTTCAAGTGTCATTACCTTGCTCTGAACTTGCTTCAGATCAGTATGCTGGTAATATGTCAGGCAAGTCCTGGAGGCATCCTTTAGCTTGGTCCTTCCTAACAGGCTGTCCTGATTAAGCATTCAGAAATACTTTACAGTATTATTTATCAGTACATACTGCTAAGGTGCATCAAGGAATATATAGATTCATATATAGATTGAACAAATCAGTTCAGTTCTTTTCAGGCATCTCCGTTTAGCAGCTGTTTGTCATTCTTACACACACTTTGAGACCCATGCTCTGCCCTTCTGTATCTTGCTGGAAATTATGAAGGGCTTTCAATGGAGATATTTTTGCTTTGGTATAGAAGTGCTTAACTATGAAAAGAAAAATTTGCAATTTGGGGTTGAAAAATGTCTGTCTTTCAAAAAGAGAACTGTAACCCCAATAACTATCCCTACCACCCATTTAAAGAAAAAGCAAATTCCTCAGTAAAGTTCCTTTTATAGATCGTGACCTGTTTCTGTACCATAAACAATTTTATTTTATATAATTATTTACTAAACCATTTCAGATTACTTAATTAAAATTGTTGTTTTACATACATATATCTACCTATCCCTTTATATATCTGTGAATACTTAATCTATTACAGTTCCTAGAGAGCAAAATGCCTTAAGTGTTGCATAGTTACAACTCACTTGGCTTGCTTACTTCCTTTTAAAGGAAGGAATGCTTTAGGGAGGGGGAAGATGCAGGATGGTTTTTAACCCCTATGTGCTGTTCATTCATTGGCTATGTTATAATGTAATTGTATTAAAATTGCCTGGAAAATCCTAATAGTCCTTGGCTTTCTATTTGAAGAAATTTTGGAGTGATGAAAATGTAGTTTATATGGGGAAATTCAAAAGAAAGGGTTAACATGAATCTAGCAAAACAACCTTATCCATAGTGGGTAAAAAAACCAAATCTGCTCTGCAACCTGACCCTACTTCAGAGCTTTCTCCTTGTTCCTTTTCCCTACTGTTACTTTCCCAGTCCTTGCTCCTACCCTCCTTATCTAATGAACGTGATTGAATTACCATTTAGAATGTCCTTCTCCTCCAACCTCAACCACTATGGCATGACCCATGTAGCTAGTGTCAGCGACGTGCTGTTGGACAACTCATTCACTCCACCATGTCAGCGGATGGGCGGAATGGTCTCTTTTCGGACTTTCGAAGATTTTGTCAGGTAAGTCATTGTGGAACTCTCTCTGTGCAAGGGGAGTCATGGACATCTGGGTTTTGGGGTCTCAGCTTTCTGCAAAGTGAATAAAGGTCCCCAGAATAGCCATGAGCCAGATAAAAAGATGTAACCCTTGCTGAATATGCGCCCTCGGAGAGGTATATATGCTTCCATTTCTACCTCTCATTCAGATTCTACAAGCCTCCACTTGTAGTATGAGCCTGGTCAGAAAAAAACAAAAACCATCTTTTCCTGAGTAGCTAGCAGAAGAAGCTGTCTGCTCTGTGATGAGTGAAATGTCAGGAGAAATTAAACATAACACTAGAGTGAGCCCCACAAGAGACGATACATCTTTTGATTAAATGCATTCAGCATCTATCTCTTGATGTATACTGATGCATTACCCTAGAGGGAGGGGTAATTACATTGGTCTGTCACAGCTCCAGTTCCAGGCACTTTTTGTTACTTTAAGACCGATGATGACAGCAGTACTCATATCTTACATATGAAGAAAACAAAACCAAAAAGCTTTAGATCATTCTTTTTAAAAAAGAAAATATATATATGGTTTATTAAAGTTTAACCAATTCATCCTTCTAATTTCTGCCACTTGGTGAAATTTTGCATGTCACCTCTAGCCACTGGTGATTCTGTTCAGTTAACTATTGAGCACAGGCTAAGATAGATTATTTTTTTAGACTCAGCTGGCAATGGCAGTGTTTGTTTCCTGCCACTTGGGTTTTCATGGTGGATGTTTCTCTTATATTTTTTTAGGATCTTTGATGAAGTGATGGGCTGCTTCTCTGACTCCCCACCCCAAAGCCCCACATTCCCTGAGGCGGGTCACACATCTCTTTATGATGAAGATAAGGTATAACGTTTCTTTTGGGAGACTGCTTTGTTCCCTCAGACATGGGACTTGTATACTGTCTTTCTGACTTTGGACTATTATAAAAGAAAGAATTCATCTTTTTACCCCAACTTATAGTACCCCAATTTTGTATTCCTCACCAAAGTGTTTTTTGGGAAACAGGTGGACTATAAATTCTAACTTAAAAAAAACTATATTAATTTTGGAGTCCATAGTATAGAATGCGCTCAGCTATATCCATTGCAGCTGCCTCTGAATCTCTGAATATTGTTTTAAGGATTTGGGCTTTTGTTGCTGGAATTCTTACTCACCATATTTTTGCATAGTGGCTGGAATTCTTAGCCATGGCTTATATTTTTGCCTAGTGGTACTATCATAGTCCTCAGAGAATTGGAGGACTTTAGATTGCAGAAAAAAATAGGCATTTTGTTTTAAAACTTTGTCTTTATATTAAATAATTTCACTTATCAGTAAATAAATTGTTCTTTCTCTACAATGTTATTTTTTCATGATTTGATACTTCCATTGTTTGATAAATTGTAAGAAAATATGTGGGAATATGTTCAGATGGCTTATTTCACTCATTTACCTTCACATTCTGTGAAGAGATATGGTAAATAGTTTCACCCCCATTTTATTGGTTAAAAAAAAGGTGAGACATAGTGATCTTCAAGTTCATGCCAAGTAAAGATTGGGCCACCTGTTGCTAATGCCTCTGCTGCCTTATCTTTTAAAAGTTATGTGCTTTACTTTAATCTCTTTGTTGTTGTTGGGCAGTGGTTTCAATTTGCTCATTCCTCCTGGTGGGCAAACCAAAATATCCTGTGGGGTGTATCTCTCTTTCAGGTATTCTACCAAATGTTATAACTTCTACCTGCATCTGTATTGACCAGCCTCATAATTTCTTTGGCTTGTGTTCTTGAGTCACAGGTTCCCAGGGATGAACCAATTCACATTCTCAATGTGGCTATCAAAACTGACTGTGATATTGAGGATGACAGGCTGGCAGCTATGTTCAGAGAATTTACCCAGCAAAATGTAAGTTCTTGATTGGGTGGAAGCTGGTGATGGCCCCTTTCCGACTGGTTGTGTATCATAGCTGTCCTTTTATCAGTTGCTAGTTTAAGGCCTATCACTTATAATGGCTGTGTCTTTTATCATAACTCTCAGAACTATGGCTAGTTCTGCCTTTAGGGATAGAATCCCAAAGTAATTTAATAACAGGTAATCCCAAAGTAATTTAATAATAGGTAATGAATATCTTTGTGTGTCAACAGATATAGACCTCAAATAATTAAAATGTTTTTAAGGGAAGTTATGTTCCTAAATCTCTCTCAGAGCTCCAGTCTTGAACTTTCAATCACCTACTAAATATTTTTCTTTGGTGACTTCCCACATGTCTAAGCCCAACTCCCCTCAGGTCCCTTCTATGTCTTCCCCTTCCCGCCTTTGAAAATATCAGTTATATACCTTTCTTTCTTTCAATTTTATGTCACTTGGATGTCTTCTGTTGACATCAAACTTTATAGTCTAAATGTAATTTTCCATCATTTTCCTTCACCTCTTCTCATCCCTCTCCAATCCTCTCATAAAACAGAACAAAAAAACCTCACAACCTCACCATACTTTACTCCCAATCATTCAGATGTCATTGACTTTTGCCTTGACATTCCTTCATTCTACTCATCTACTCACAATCTGTATATATTTATTTGTATCTGGTCAGTCACCAAGGTCTGTTAGTTTTTCTTTGCAGTCTTTTTCACCCTTTCTCTAACTCGTCTTTTCAGTTTTTAAACTCACTGCCATCTCTAATTCAAACCCTTACTATCTTACACCTGAGACACTACAGCAGATTTATTTATGATCTACTTATCTTCCTTCATTTTTACCCTCCAAGGAGTTTCCAATCTGCTCACCACCACAAAATTAAATGTACTAAATGTGCTCTTACCATATTATTTTCCCACTTCTCTGACCTTCAGAATACCTGTGTATCTTTAGATTCAACATCATCAGCCTCTTGAGAGACTAACATGTAGTCTTTGCTGTTTTGTGAAAAGATATAAGTTTTCATTGTCTAAGGTGCCTTGTTTGCTGTCTAAGGTGCACTTTTTTACTTCCTCTTACCTGGAAAGTTTTCTTGCACCTTTCTTTCTAAATCCTCCTTAAGAACTGTCTCAAATTTCACCTCTTTGATATGGACTTCTGAGTAGCCCTAACTAAAGTGTATGTTTCTCCTTTGAATTCCTAATTGGTTAGCATACATTTTTTAGCAATAATAATGCTTTTTATTTATATTTTTAAAATCCTACCTAAATTTTTAATTTGCATATTATCACAATTCCATGGGGTTAGATAAGTCAGGAATTATTCCAGTTGTACACATGGGGAAAAGCTGAAGCTCAGAGAAATTAAGACCCCTAGGTCACCAGCTGGAAAATGATAGGGCAAATACTAGAACTTAAGGATTTGATGCCAGGTCTAGGGGGCACAGATGGAGGTACTTTAGTACATAATATATTCTTAGCCCTGAAGATGCTTACAGTCTAATTGAGGGAACAGGGTAGGCATGCTTGAAACAATAATCTACAGTTATGTTTCATTATGATGTCATAGATGGCAAAGTGTCCTCTTAAACTGTCCTTGATGGCAAGACCCATGTATTCTCTTTGAGTGGACAGCACTTTGCCCATGGACTTTCTTGAGAGAAAGAACTCAGTAAATGTTTTCAAAATTTAATTCAGTGGTATAGACAATTCGTGCCATTGTTATTTACATCATGTCATGCCAATGGTAGACATCTAGGGGAAAAATGGTTGATTTGTGATGACTATGAGTCTTAGTACTTATTCCATGATGCTGTTATAGCACTTTAACTATGGGATTGCAGTGGCCAATATGAGGAAAAGGTGCTTCCAGAGAAGTGAAAGTAGGGAACATGCCTGGGGCTTTTTCTGTAGACAGAAATTTACCTTCCTTCTTGCCCTTAGCCGGTGACCACATAGTATTAACTTAAAGCCAGTGATCAAGGTAATCTTTGCTGGAAGAGTCTTAGTGTTATATGTGGTGGCTGCTGCTGTTTCATATAATAATCTATGAAAGTTTCTTCCTAGGTTTTGAGGCACTAATTGCCTATGTTTGAGTATTTTTCCATAATTTGACCACAACTTGACACTTTTTCTTGCCCTCAAATCTAAGTGTCGTATATATCAACACATGTTGATCTAAAAAGGCATTTTCAGCCGGACGCGGTGGCTCACACCTGTAATCCCAGCATTTTGGGAGGCCAAGGCGGGTGGATCATAAGGTCAGGAGTTTGAGACCAGCCTGGCCAATATGGTGAAACCCGGTCTCTACTAAAAATACAAAAATTAGCTGGGCGTGGTGGCGGGCACCTGTAGTCCCAGCTACTCAGGAGGCTAAGGCAGGAGAATGGCTTGAACCTGGGAGGCAGAGGTTGCAGTAAGCTGAGATTGCGCCACTGCACTCCAGCCTGGGCGGTAGAGCAAGAATCCGTCTTTAAAAAAAAAAGGGGGGCATTTTGTTTCTATTCACTACATATGTTTGTAACATTAATGAAAAATAAGAAATTACCCTTTTCATTGACTAGATGTGGAAACTAAAGCACAGAGAAATCCAATGTCTTTGCCTAAGGCTATTTAGAAAGGTAAGGGTAGACTATGCTTACGCTCCAAGCATAGAGAAGCTATTTACTGCATCAGAGACGGTGCTTATCCAGGGACATTTGGCATTTTCATCTCCTTATATGTATGTATGTATGTATATATATATATAGAAAAGGAAGGAAAAGCAATTTAAGAAAAAAAAAGATGAAGTGGTAACTAGTTTTGTTTTTCACTTCATGATCATGCTCCTAGCAGTTTAGAAAAAGTTTTTTTTTTAAAGCACACATTAAACTATCAAATAAGTTGATCCAAATTGTCCAAATAATCTTCTAGTCCCAGCATGTCTTTTTTTCTCTCATAGAAATTAGGATCATATATTTGTAAATGACTTGTGGAGGAGATTGAAGCAGTCAGTGTAAATGGAGTTTCTCCAGGTGCTGACGCCTAATCGCTGGGTAATAGCTGTGGACTTGCTGTGAGACCCGCATTATTACAATGTAATCAGAATCCTGTTGCTCTGCTGTTATTGTCAGCCACTTGTGGAATTTTAAAAGCAATAACAATTTTGATTTTAAATCATGGCATTATTAAAGTTATTTTCTTTCCTTGCCAGAACATAGCTATTGATGCTTGTCTTTGAAGGACTTGACTGTAGTGGAATCTTTGTTGATGTCAGAAGAATTGTTTCTGTTCCTGACCACACTGAGAAACCCCCGCTTCTTTCAACACATTTTTTTTCTAATTGTAGTGTCAATACTTGGCTATTTACAGCAAGGCGTGTGATGACATTACAGATAATTTTTTAATGTGATTAAACTAAAATTTATTTATATTTGGCCTGAGAATTTATTATTTGCTTTTAGAAAATTAATTTTTCCAGTTATCTTTTGTTTATGCTGTTAATAAAATTAATTTTATTACTCAGTAATGCCATAGCAGAATTGAAGAAATTGGAAGAATTAAACCAGGAATGTGCTTCCTTATAAGGGGAAGACAATTTGAATTAAAAAATATATATATAGTATTATGAATATTAAGAATTGGCTTATACATGTATCTCTTGGTTACAGTTATAGCAAGAAATGTGGTCAAACTTAAGTCTGGATGTAGCCTGTGAAAGTCCACATTATTTTTCTGTTTGTGCTATTCATATGTTTTCTCAGGTCATTCAACTGGTGAGGTTGCTTTTTTATTTGTTGTTACATAATACTTCTTTGTTAGGGACCTCTAAACGTGTGCCTTTTACTTAGTTCATTAATTTGTTTCTTTGTCCCTGCCTTTGGAGATACGTGAACAGCATAGGGAAGAGGAAGGCTTAGGTTCAGAGGCTCAAAATTCATGTAAGTGGCTGTCTTGAAACTACTGGTGTCTATTTACTTCTTTTTTTTTTTTTTTTTTGGAGACTGTCTCCCTCCGTCACTCAGACTCTGAAGTATAGTGGTGTGATCTTGGCAACCTCTGCCCCCTGGGTTCAAGCGATTCTCATGCCTTATTCTCCCAAGTAGCTGGGATTACATGAATGTGCCACCACACCTAGCTAATTTTTTCTGTTTTTAGTAGAGACAGGGTTTTCTCTTGTTGGCCAGTCTGGTCTCGAACTCCTAGCCTCAAGTGATCTGCCCTGCCCACCTCACCCTCCCAAAGTGTTGGAATTACAGGCATGAGCCACCACATCTGGCCTTCTGTTGCCTTCTAATATACTAGTTGCCTGTACTTGATGGAGATATAAATAATTCCTAAATTTAAAGGCCTGTTAAATGTTGTTTTTAACAATTTTAAAAGAGAACCTTTTTAAAAATTGCCTTCATGTAAGGTAGGGGGGAACTTTTTTAGAAACACTGAAAGATTACAATTTGTTAGACTGAATTCTAGGAACGCTCTATCTGATGGTAGGTAACATCTACAATCCAAACAGTTTAGGACCTATGTTTTATGTTTTATGGAAAGTTCTTTTCTCTCTACCTTATTTCATTTAGCTTCTTTATTAATATTAATGTTTACATTTGAATATATGCCCAACACTATGATTTTTATAAGCAGAAATTTTGTCATGGTCTACCTTTATGTAAATCAGTACTGAGGTAATTTAGTTGACTTCATATGACCCTTTCTTCTCCACAAAGTTCCCTTTTAGCTTTGTCCAAATCAGTATAAAATCTATTTCGTAAGATTTAGTCTTAGGACCCAGGTTGAAAATTGTTCACTTGCAAGTTTGAAGGTTCTAAGCTAAGATAAAGATAACCAAAAAGGGTGTTTAGTTGTACTAAAGCCTTACGAGGACTGAATGGGATAAAATTTAGAATGAATGGAAATCTCATCTATCTTCTGTTTTACATGTTTGCTCCTAGAAAGCTACCCTGGTTGACCATGGGATCCGGCGCCTTACTTTCCTGGTTGCACAAAAGGTATTGACATGTGAATTGTACCTCTTTAATATTTCTTATACTGCTGCTAGAACTTAATGAAAAATGGGATTGCAATCATATGCTTACTAGAATTTATTCAGAGAAATAACTACTTTTCTATAAGTTTTATTTAAAAAAAAAAAAGTACTTTATCATCTTTTACTCATTTGTTTTTAATTTTGTTACTAATTGCCAGCTTCTGCTGTCTTTCCTTCCTTTCCGTCTTTTATTTGAAAGGATTTCAGAAAACAGGTCAACTATGAGGTGGATCGGCGATTTCATGTAAGTAAAAGGAACAATAATGAAAAATTACTTACTGTTTATTTGTTTGCCACTGATTAAACAGAATATATGTTAAAAGGGCTGGACTGATATTTGGTCCCTCTTCTTTTAGAAATTATTATAATAAATATTCAGTTCTCTGTAATTGCAGCACTTTGGTAGGCTAAGGAAGGAGAATTGCTTAAGCCCATGAGTTTGAAATGAGCCTGGGCAACTTAATGAGACCCCATCCTCTATTAATTAAAAATATTTTAAAAATTCTTATGTCAAGTGTTCCAGCTGAAGGTTTTTTCTTTTCTTTTCTTTTTTTAGCTTATAATGGATTCTCAGTATATCTCTGAGAAATAGTTAAGAGTGGACATAAGCATTTATCCAGATGAATAAGGTAGAAACAAGCTAACTAGTAATTTCTTCTGTGCACATAGTGAATCAATAATCAAGAACAGCCAGTTACATTTTGTGGTCTTGGCTTCTTTACTGAGAAGTCTCAATTCTAAAGAATGATGATTTATTTAAAATGCCTTAATGGAGCCAAGTTGCTACTTTTTGGTCTTATGTTAATCCTAGGAACAGGAAATAAGTAGAACTTAAACATTCTGTTGTTTATTCTGCCATTTAACTGAATTAACTGTTAATATTTATGAGATTAAAATTTTTATTGAAAAGAGAATTAAGTCAATAGCCTAGAATCCGAACTGTGGTATACCCATATGATCATACCCGGTAGAGTGACAGCAGTAAGGCCAAAAATCCAGTTTGCAATCAATATGTCATTTTCAAAATGACTGATTATATTCAAAATATTTCATAAAAATTGTTTCTAATGTAGCTAAGTAAGATTGCAGAGGATGTTAGGAAGTTGTTGTTTTTCTGTTTGTTTGTTTTTTTGAGAGGGAGTCTTGCTCGGTCACCCAGGCTGGAGTGCAGTGGCACAATCTCAGCTCACTGTACCAGGTTCAAGAGATTCTCCTACCTCAGCATTTCAAGTAGCTGGAACTGCAGGTGTGTACTACCATACCTGGCTAATTTTTGTATTTTTAGTAGAGACAGGGTTTCACCACTTTAGCCAGGCTGGTCTCAAACTCCTGAACTCAGGTGATCTGCCCTCCTTGGCTTCCTTTGGGAAGCTGGAATTACAGCCACTATGCCTGGGCTGTTTGGTTCGGTTTTAGCAATTAAGATAATTTAGTTGTTAAGCTCTGCCTGTTTGCAACAATGGAGATAGCATTTGAGATTCTGGAAAGGACTTTCTAAACTCAAGGACCTATGTGTGACTGCTTTTATTACCTTTTTGTTTATTAGGCTTCTAGCACTTGACATTTTGTTTTCCTTCATACAGTTCACCTCGTTGGTCTAGTCTATAGAGAAACAAGAGAGCTAAGATTTTCTGAAATGCTTTAGGAAATGTTGTGGACTACATGACTCTCCTGTGTTATTGATGTCAGGAAATCAAGCAGAGTGTAGATATATATCAATCAATAACTTTAGATAGGAAACAGAGTCAGTGGAGAAGTATGAGGAGCTTAAAAAGAACCCTGGGGCTTTAGGAAGAAAAATCAGGAGCTTAGAGAGTAAAATTGATACTTGGGGATAGAATATGAAAGCCCGTGAATAAACACTGTGGCTGGTAGATGCTGATCAGAGCTAGTAGACATGCCAGAGCCAGGCCCTGAATTTTAGAAGAGTATTGTGCTGGGTTCTTAAATGTTACTATGCTTTTTATCACAGACTTTAAAATAATAGCGTATTGTAGGGAATGACACCAAATTTGTAAAATTGTTTTCCTTTTTGCTAATGGTTTAGATGGAGTCTTCACATCTGTAGCACATTAACTGGTTTCTATAATAGATACACTGATCAATTAAAACTGTCCACTAAAAACCAAAGTGATTAGTTCTCACTGACATTTTTTCATTTATGTAACACACATACAAAAACCCTCTTATCTCTGAATCTATGGTGTATAGTTATAAATATATGCCCTAATATTAATCTAGAGTATACTTAACAGCTTTAAAACTTTATTTTCCTCTCTGCTGTCCTGATAGTTCTGCATTTAGGTTGAATAGGGACATGTACAGGCAAAAATCGGCTAGAAAATGAGGCCAGCGGGGGTTCTTCCCTGACAATCATTGTCTGATTCCTATTTATAGTGGCATCAGGTGGGAAATCAGTTAATTATCAAGTGACTTGATTTGTCATGGGTGTAGGAAAAACTGCTTTAGAGCATAGAGAACATTAAGGTTTAAGTGTGGACTAGATTTGCTCTGAAGAATTGAATGGCAGAGGAGTTGGGGTGTTTTTATATTAGTCCTTTTAAAAATGATAAGTGGTTTTGCAGGGGGCAAGGGCAACTATTAAACTGAACTCCATCCAGAATCTATTACATAATCCAGGATCTACAATAGCCAGGAAGCCTTGGCAGAAACTGTACAAATCTGGGGGTTACTGTCATGATGCTGCTGTGAGTTCTGCTAATGGTAGCTTGACATTGATGAAGGATGCTTGCCTCTGTCATGTCATCTGATGTGTGCTTGCCCCATAGTTAGTGTACTGTGAAAAAGAGGAAGCTTCTGGGAGTGTCAGAGATGAATCCCTTGATCTCTCTGGCTTTTTGGTAATCCACTGTAATGTATGCAGCCTCCCCTGTCCTATGCTGTGAAATCCCTGTCCTATGCTGTGAAATCCCTATATTATTGAATGGAAGAGAGAATGTGCACTTGATGGGGCAAGGAGAGGAGGAAGGTTACCAAGTTTGGTTTAAGAACATTGGTTAGTGGAATAAAGCAAGCTGTGCTGTTAAATAGTTGTTGATCTTTCAGATTGCCTCAGAACCAGAACAAGACAACTAAGGGCCAGAGTGGAGGTTCCTAGAGAGCTGTGTATATTGTTTGATGCTGATTAGGATGCCAGTGATGGCTATAAGCATTTACAATACTTGGTAGTTTTGTAATACTTGTGTAAAAAACCACAGTCGTCCCAGAAAGCTGACCACAGGTGTGTCTGCTGCTGCCCAATTCTCTTGACCCTGAATTGAGATTATTTCTGTGACTGCAGTGTTCACCAGTGTTAAAGAGTCTGGGAGTTGACTGTTTCCATAACCACTTAGTTAAATCAAATGCCCATGATGGAACTTGAATAACTGTCTAACATTTATATTTAAGCAGAAAGTTTGAGGAAAACAAGTCTCTTTTTGTAAATATATTCTTCTTGTTAAAAAAAAAAAGATCATAATGCTTATCTGAAAATAAAAAAATAAAAGAAAAAATGGACAAGATGTTAAAGAAAAGAAAAAAGATCAAGGCCTTGAATGCAAAAGAGTTATCTTGAATTTCTGTAGCTATCTAAACTGCAGCTCCATCCAGTTTTCTGTTAGTTAAAATTTACTGATTTATTCTCTCTTAGTTTCACTCACATTTCAGGTCTGGAATTCCAAAAAACTCAGCAGAAACCACTGTCTTTTTTTTTTTTTGAGACGAAGTTTCGCTCTTGTTACCCAGGCTGGAGTGCAATGGCGCGATCTCGGCTCACCGCAACTTCCGCCTCCTGGGTTCAAGCAAATTCTCCTGCCTCAGCCTCCCACGTAGCTGGGACTGCAGGCACGCGCCACCATGCCTAGCTAATTTTTTATTTTTAGTAGAGACGGGGTTTCACCATGTTGACCAGGATGGTCTCGATCTCTTGACCTTGTGATCCACCCACCTCGGCCTCCCAAAATGCTGGGATTATAGGCTGAGCCACCGCGCCCGGCCAGAAACTGCTGTCTAATTGCGATATGAAGCCTTTTTTTTCTTTGAAGCTTTTCATATGTTTTTTAGCAAAGTTTGGCTAAGGACATCGAAATACAAATTTTTAGGACTTCTTATCCCCCATTAGGTCCAAAAATTATAAGATTCTAAATTAAGCAGTTTTACATCTGTTAATAAAATGTTACCTTTTGTTCTTGTAAAATTTCATGGGATTTACAAAAAATGTTTACAAATCTCCTGAGAGAGTTGTTGTTTTATGACTATTGTGTGACTCCTACTTCAAAATGAAATATTTTGGATTATTTGGACCTTGAAGGAAGAGCTCACTATCATGAAAAGTTATCACAATTAGTAGTTCTTTTGTTTGTTTGTTTGTTTTTTAAGATATTTCTGTTTGGTAGTGGACCAACTATTAGGTTTCAGAAGGGTTGGTTTGGGTTTTTGTTTTAATTACAGTCTATATAATTAGTTCTCAGCATGTTGAGGTAAAAGAGAATTGCATCAGCAAGCTCCCAATTTCTTCATCTCATTAGGTTTTTAACATGATTATTAGTATCATAATCAGCTATGATGTTTTTTGTTGCAGGTTTTCACATTCTCTGATTTGCAGGGTGTCTTGATTGGCTAATTTGGGCAAATTATTTTGATTGTCTTGATGATGGTTGGCTGATTAGAACACAGCAGGGGTATAATTTCTTCCTGTGAAATGTTGCATTCTTTTGTTTTTTTGGTACCAGAACACTAAGAGGGTTTTTCTTTGTGTACATTCAATTATGAATTTGCCCATGACACTAGTAGAATGCTGGAAAAGCAAATACATTGATGATGGAATAAGCATGAATGCTTTTAGTGGAAAAACTGGCAGTATGAGGATGAGATAGGTTAAAGGCATTTACTAAAACTATGGGATCAGACTTTTAGATTTCTTCTTTTCTGTGTTTTCTGTGATTCTGTGGTTTTTGAATGCCGAAAGAGGTAACTTTCTGTAAGAGTTCTTCAGACTTCCAAGTCACCGAAGAATTGCTTGGTAGTCCCACTTTTCCATTGCACAGAGGTTCTTGCTGCCTCTTGTTCTGAATGTTTAATACTTAAATTGAGGATTTTACTGTGGAGCTAAAAATTTACTCAGAAGTTAAAAAAAGTAAAAAGCCTTTTCTTAGCTAACCATAATGAAAGTGGTTTTTCTAATTGGTAGTCATTGCCCACCTCTGCCAAGAATTAGTCAGTTTCTTCATTATTTGTATTAAAGGCATTTCCATTCAAATTGCTTTATATGCCTTTCAGTTACTACAAATTTTCTTAATTGGTTTAGTGGAAAAGAAAGCATTTTTTTATTACTGTTGTTTTGTTTTTGAAAGGAAATGGTTTTGATCCTACAAGTGTACATAATTAAAGAAGTGGCATCCTAAACAAACATTTTAATTAATTAGCTAGTAATAGTTCAGGCAGAATAGAAAAGTGTATGCTTAAAATATCATATTATCACTTTCCTTGCCTTTTCTTTCAAAGAGTTCCATGGAAAGATTTTGTTATTCTTCCTTTTTTGGCATGTGTTACTTTTTAGGTAATGTTCTGAAAGCGGTACCTTACTGGAGTAAAACCAAAACTAGGTTATATAAAACCGTGAGCATGATAGTTACCAACACCTTAGTTGAATGCATTCTACTTAACCTTGAAGTCATCCCGATATGCTTCACTATCGTGGCAGAGAGGAGGAGGTCAGAGAAATATTTAGAACAAAACTTCATTAGGAGAAGTTCAGTCCATTTTAAAAAGGAATTTCCCTGAGATTGGCGAATGAGCTCCTAGCAGCTTTTTAAATGCAGTCTAACAATTAAAATACCAAGGAAAATATGAAAAGATTTATTAACTGTGCAAGCTTTAGTTAAGGTGAGAGTGAGGTATAATACTTATGGAATGTATTCAAGAAATTTTCAGGAAATTCAAGAACCATAGGTTTACAGCATGAGTTTTGCTTTGTTCGCATTCTGCTTTTTTAAAGTCTTAATTTCTGTGTTTTTGTCTCATCAAAGAGAAATTCTGTAAATAAGGAATTTGGATTATAATAAGAAGAGAAATGTAATACTGTGCCCTTGAGAGGTAAGAGGGCATGATGGACTCTGGCATTAGAAAGACCCAAGTTTATCTTCTAGCTCTGTGATTCTGAGGATGTACTTGAGCCACGCTTCCTTGTTGATAAAATGAGGGTCACAACATCTACCTCTAGAGGTTGTTGAGAGCATTGGATGGGACAACACATGAGAGTGCCTGCCATCCGAAGATTTTCAGTCCATGTTTCCTTCGTAGTTCCTAAAGCTCATTCAGGATATGTAGGCAGCTAGTCCTGGTCTCTCAGCCTTGTACTGATAAGTATTTGATTATATTGCATTCATAATGAAGAAGATGCCTAATGAAACCTCCTATAGAGGCACATAGTAATGACTTGATTCCAGCACTGCCAGTAGAACTTCCCATCCAAGAAACAGGGGTATTTGGTGTTAGTAAGTTAAATTTCAGGAACTAATGAACTCTGCTAATTGAATTCGTCTTTGTTAATTGATAAGGCTCTAGTAAATTGGTTGTTTTTTTTTTGTATAATGCCCTACAAAAAAGCAGGAAGACCTAATGATTACAAGTTCTCTAGTTCCACCTCATTCTTTCCTATACATATAGTGGTAGTGACCAAGGTAGCATCTTGTATTTTTTTTGTCTTCAAATGTTATTATTTAAACTCTTGAAATTATTGACTTGAGAATGAATGTGAAAATCATGGACTGAGCACTCTATACTGTCTGACCAGTTTATATTTTAAGAGTTTCTTAAAGAGAAACTTGGGAAATCAGTCCAGTAACTACTATTGCAGTGACTGCAGCATAGGGTATATTGGTTTTATTTGCCAGGTTGTGCCAAGAGCAATACCCAGCAAGATTTTTTTTTTCACTTGGGAGATTTTTAAAATATATACATCTTTTTCCCCCCTGGGAGAGGGTAGATACCAAAGTTAGGTTTATAATATGGTGATTCTCAAATTTGGAAATGGGGTCAGAGTGATGATTATGCAGAGGATCATTCATATTTCCTGGACTAAGCTTAGGTAAGAAGCATGTTTTCTAGAAAATTGTCTTCTAAATGTTTCTAAACTGTTATTATACTATAAAGACTCGTGTCTATGAACTACTGACACATTTTCCCCCTTCTTTAATACAGAGAGAATTCCCTAAATTTTTTACATTCCGAGCAAGGGATAAGGTAAGGATTGACTTATTTCCTATTTAAAAAAAAACTATTTTTTTCCTAAAAGCCCAAGAGTGGCTTATCTTTGTCACATGTTCTTCTTGCCATTCTTTTCTCTCTTATTGAACTTGTGCTTCCTTTTGCCTTCCTTACATGTGTCTTAGAACTAAAGCCAATTGTTTTCTGAAAGAGTTTGGTATAGGAAACAACCAAATGTGTTGGGCTACTCAACAAAGGGTGAAACCTTTCCAAATCATACCTGTCCTTTAGAATGATCCTAATGATGTGATATGAAAGGACTATTCTTGTTGTGTAAAAATAATTCACTGATATTCAACTCTTGTTTGTGTGCATTTTTTTTCAATTTTAAAATACAAAACTTCAGACCATGTTGCTTTCTTCCTGTTACTGGCTTATATTTTTGACACTGTCTCTCCATTCACTCAGTTGACCTGTATTCCAGAAAAATAATTTAGTTTCACTGAAGCACACAGTACACAGTACAATAATGTTATATACAAATGCAACTTTAAAAAAATATATAAGTATTATATAATCTATGGATACAGTGCTCCAAAGCCAAATATCTCTTTAATTAAAAAATTGTATGATGTTTATTTGTTGAGTATTATGTCTTTTGTATGGTATTATAAGTGAGAAAACTTTTAGGGTAAGCTCAAAACATTAGCATGTGAAGTAGATATTAATGTGAAGCAGTCTGTAATTAATATAAAAATGAATTATAAATACATTAAATGCTATAAGAGTTATAAGGAAACTGAGATTTTTTTGTTTTTAATGCATGTCATCACCACTTTAAAAGCATGAATGATGAAGGTTTAGGAAGCAAATAGGTACTTTAGTGCCTAATCTTACGTAAACTATAGCATTAGCCTTGAACATAGCTCATTAGCACATCATAGCTTATGTGTCTGTTTTCAGCCATTTCTTTTACATTCACTTAATAGGTATAGTTTTGTAACTGCTTCTTGTGAGCTGTTTTTTCTCTGATTCTTGTACTCAGTTTGAGGAGGATCGCATCTATCGTCATCTGGAGCCTGCTCTGGCTTTCCAGTTAGAGCTGAACCGGATGAGAAATTTTGACCTCACTGCCATTCCATGTGCTAATCACAAGATGCACCTGTATCTCGGGGCAGCCAAGGTGGAAGTGGGCACAGAAGTGACAGACTACAGGTTCTTTGTTCGTGCAATCATCAGACATTCTGATCTGGTCACCAAGGTGGGTGCTGTAGTTTAATGGGATGTTATCCCTGAGGGAAGGGACAGAGTTAAACATGATTCAAAATCAGGTCTTGTGCTTCTGCTGAGAGAGAGCCTAAAAAAAAAATCAGATTTTCATTTTTTGAATCAAGGCTTCTGTTCTCTTTCAGTGTTTACAGAAGTAAATATTTCATATAATAAAGGCATTTTTTTTTTTTTTTTTTACGAAGAAGAAAGTGCATCTAAAAATAAATAAAAAAGGAAGGCTTTTTTTCCACTTTAATTTGATTTTTCTTGGTAGCAGAAGCGTAATAGCACTCAAGAAAAGAAAAAGCATACTAACAAAAAAATCACATGAAGAATTGGGTGGTGATAGAGCATAAGGAGATAAGTTAGGAAAGGGGTGATCCCATTGTACACCTGTCTAGAGGTATGGGTAGTGTCTGTATATAGCAAGGCACTTCCTGGTGTGGTCATTATTACTATATCCCATAGCCATTCCCTTTCTTCAGCTTTTCCTTTCTAAATAGCTCTGTTTGGCACATGTGAAATATCATTCTGTTGAGCTTATAGCTATGGGGATGCCCAGTATTTCTACCTCTTGAAAGGAAATGATACACTAAGAGTAAGGAGGAAGGGCTGACATAGACTTTTTATCTGGCCCTTGCCTTCCCTGCCTGTGGTTACTGGACTGACTCTAGGGTGAAAGATACACAATGTCTTCACTAGGTGCCTTATGATTCATGGCATACTGCTGCTTAAGTGATTATAAGAGCCATTTCTATGTTGTCTCTTTTAAAACACATTAATGCTGATTATTTTCTTCCTGTATAGGAAGCTTCTTTTGAATATCTGCAAAATGAAGGGGAGCGGCTGCTCCTGGAAGCCATGGATGAGTTGGAAGTTGCTTTTAACAATACAAATGTCCGCACTGACTGTAACCACATCTTCCTCAATTTTGTGCCCACGGTTATCATGGACCCATCAAAGGTACATTTCTCCTTAGCTTCTCTCCCAGCACTAGCAAGTGTAAGAAGTTCATTCACATTTATCTCACTTGGACTTGGAAACAGGTACTCTTGCTCAGGCTGTTGAGCCCTTAATCTGTGGAATTTATAGAATGTTTATAAGATTAAGTTTTGGGACAGTGTCAAAAATTTGATTTAGCCATTAAAAAAAATAGTTCTCAAAACTGAAGGTGGTATGGTGTTAGCTTACTGGTCACTTATAAGCAGTACAAAAACATGAAAACCTTTCTCTTCTTTTGTTGACAGCTGTTTTATGATATTTGCCATAATAATGGTCCTGTTTTATACTATTCCCTATGATTTCTCACCTGGAATGATTAATTTTACTGTTACTAAGCATTTTGGCTAAATTACTGCTTCTGTGCACTAAATGTTAATTACCTGGTGACCTTAGTGAGATAATGCACCTTCTCAAAGTGTCTAACCTATATCTCTTGAATGTTTTTCTATAGGGAGAGAATTTGGCTGATAAGGAATTTCACATGTATTATGTATATTTTCTTCCCTGGGAGTCTATTCTAAAATGCATTCTATATAATTTAAGGGAGAAAAATAAGGCATTTTTGTACTTGACCTTTTATCCCAGATATAATAAAGACAGGCTGCTCTTCTGTTTCTGCTCCTTCTTTTTTTTTTTTTTTTTTTTCTTTTTTTTTTTTTTTAAAGATGGAGTTTCCCTCATTACCAGGCTGGAGTGCAATGGCGTGATCTCAGCTCACCGCAACCTCCACCTCCTGGGTTCAGGCAATTCTCCTGCCTCAGCCTCCTGAGTAGCTGGGATTACAGGCGTGCGCCACCATGCCCAGCTAATTTTTTGTATTTTTAGTAGAGACGGGGTTTCACCTTTTTGACCAGGATGGTCTCGATCTCTTGACCTCGTGATCCACCCACCTCAGCCTCCCAAAGTGCTGGGATTACAGGCTTGAGCCACTGCGCCCGGCCTTCTGCTCCTTCTAACTCTCTTTTTTTTTTTTTTGAGACAGAGTCTCACTCTGTCGCCCAGGCTAGAGTACAGTGGCACCATCTCAGCTCACTGGAACCTCCACCTCTCAGGTTCAAGTGACTCTCATGCTTCAGCTTTCCCTAGTAGTTGGGACTACCATACACAGCTAATTTTTGTATTTTTAGTAGAAACAGGGTTTCACCATGTTAGTCAGGCTGGTCTTGAACTCCTGACCTCAAGTGATCCATCCTCCTTGACACCCATAAAGTGCTGGGATTACAGGTGTGAGCCACTGTGGCTGGCTCCTTCTAACTCTTTCTATCATGATATTATGGACCTTAGATAGGAGAACCAGTATCTCCCTTTTTCAAGATCAATTGTAGGCATGAATTTTTGTTGCTGCTGCTGCTTTTTTTCTTTCTTTCTTTCTTTCTTTGAGAGACAGGGTCTTGCTTTGTTGCCCAGGCTAGTCTTGAACTTCTGGCCTCTAGCGATCCTCCCGCCTCAGACTCCCAAAGTGCTGGGATTATAGGCATGAGTCATCATGTCTGGTAGATTTTTGCTTCTTGAACTTAGTATTTGAGATCTGAGAAGTAGTTTTCTACTTTTTTTCCTTCAAAATTCCAAGCTAATGATGGGTTGCTTTTGTCTGTAAGGAAAGCCAAGGATAGGGCTACTCATTTGACTCAAATCTCATCATCTAGTTTAAGCAAAACTTCTCCTAAGTATTCTGGGACTGATGAGCTGGGAGACTTAAAACATGGCCTATGACACTATACAACTGTATTTTTTTTTTTTTTTTAGATGTGGCTTATCTTTTCTCTGAGTTTTTCAGATCAGCCTCTGCTTTTATTCTAACCATCCATATGCCCTGACTGCTTTTCTAATGATAGATAGCTGCCAATTTTCCGTATATAAACATTGTTAGCTTTTGTTCCCACCAGAAAAGAATGGATAAATGTCTCTTGGTTAACAAGCAAGTGTGATAATAGAGAAGTTAAATCCTTGAAACTCATTCTAACTTAAAATTCTGTGGTGCAGAAACAAACTGTGAGAGTGGCACATACTACTAAAGAACCACAAGAGTTAAAACCCACTTAACAATTGGAAACTGATAAAAAGAAAAAAAGAAAAAAAAAAGAACTGCAAGAGAAAGGGAATGTAAGATATTCTCGAGATTTTCTAAGAAGTTGAGGAAGCATTTTAGAAAGATAATTTATTTAAGGAAACATTGATTTTGAATAGCATGTTCTAGCCACAGTATGTTCTGTGCAGCCATACTGGGGGAAAAAAAAAAACTTTGCTTTAGCATATAAATAACAAGAAATCACGTCTAAGGCTATTTGGTTAAAATAACTGACCTAACCCTGAAAACTAAGATTATTAAGCTGTCTTGGTATAAAACTTAGAGAAACAAGGGAACATCTACTCCATCTTCTTAAATCCTGGATGGATTTAGCAGTGGCTAAGCTTCAAAGCGTTGTTTAGAGAGAATGTTCTAGCACCACCTACAAATTGCCTTTCTTTAATTTGTGCAATTTACCAAGAGACATATATTATAAAGTTTAATAAAATTGTATGGAAAAAAGCTGATGGTGGTAATTGCTGTGTTGATTTAAAGTCCTGTAAGTGCAATGAAACATAGTTAACCATGCATATAAATGCTACTTAATAGCTATTTAACTAGGGATTTTATTCTTATTTGGGGCTTCCTCTTAAATCCCATGGCTTGTAATTTTGGATATTGCAGATTTTTGATATAGAGTATGAATATAATTGGGAAAGGGGGAGGAGTTGCAGAGATTTGGCTGTTGTTAGCCAGAGAAAACCACTCAAATGCCAAGCCAACATGAAATTGTCCCTGACTTGCCAGGGAAGAATAGATTTGGGGAGAAACTATCTGACCACTTTTTGTAAGGTGTGCATCTCCACAAACCAACATCTTTTTTTTAGTCTTTCTTTCCCAAATATGGGCAGACCTGAAACAGGTCTTAGTTACAAGGTATTTAAGTTTTGTGCTTGGTGATGTGTCTGTGTCAGATTGAAGAATCTGTGCGGAGCATGGTAATGCGGTATGGAAGTCGCCTGTGGAAATTGCGCGTCCTCCAGGCAGAACTGAAAATCAACATTCGCCTGACGCCAACTGGAAAAGCAATTCCCATCCGCCTCTTCCTGACAAACGAGTCTGGCTATTACTTGGATATCAGCCTATACAAGGAAGTGACTGACTCCAGGACAGCACAGGTACAATACTCAAACAGGATCCTCAGAGTTTTGACTTGGTCCTGCAGAAAAGACACTCATCCTTGTTATGGAAGACCCAAACTCAGAAATACCAGTGGGTCACCTGGTGGGGTTATCCTCTGTGAGCTTAAATGAGTGTATGAATTTGAAAAACTTAATCTGCCTTATAAGATGTGCCTATGTTTTCTATCATGGATGTTATAAAACCTTAGCCATTTGTCATGTATTGGTAAGCACCAACAGATGCCAAGTGAACCTGACTCCAGAGGTTATTCTGTAGTTTGGGGCTCTTGTTTTAGAGGGCTCTTGGGTTATTTTAGCAATCTAATCTTCTCAGATATGACATGTCCTTCCTATTTTCACCATAATTAAACTACTCATTGGCAAGTGAGGGAAAGAGAATTGTTAGATTGTGTCACCAACTTCTATGTTAAAGAAGGAAAATTTCAGCATAGTGTAGTAGCATGAGCACCATCATCAGTGACTATCATGTTTATCTCTTGGGTTCTGTTTTTATCATATTTTTTGTGCCATCTATTATGTTGTTCTCTTTCCTTCAAAGGTTTCAGGATATCACATATTCTATAAGAGCAAAGTGGCAAATTTTAGCCCATTTTCAGGTTGGAAAATTGAGAATGTGAAGATAGAAAGTGAGTCAGTACACTAATTCTGTGATAACAGAGAATTGCCTTTTAATGTTCTCCTACCTTGGTTTCTAAATATTTGGACTCTTTACTGTGATACTGAATTTAGGTTGCTTCACCATTGTTCATATTTTTGAAGAACTAGGATATTATTTTAGGGCTTTGGCCTGAATTTAAGAATTGCATTTCTTCTGATTAAAGGATGAACATGCTCCAGTATACATAAACAAGGGTTTCAGTCTATTCCGTGCTTTGGGTGCCAGGGAGAGATTATGTGTCTCTTGTTTTTATCTATATCTTTTTAAATCCAGGAATAGAAGCCGGAAAATATATTTTTTAGTCTTTTGAAGATGAATTTTAAAAAATCTCAGTTTATACAGTTGTCAGAATGACCTTTCATTTTGTGCTTTGATTCTCAGTTAGGTGGCTAGAGAAATCTATTGTGTCAGAAGTGAGCAGTTAAAAACAGAGCGAGAGAGAGAGAGTGCGCAAGAGCCTGAGTGGTGACCAAGAGAAAGAGTATTCAATAATTTTTGCTGTATTTGATGTTTTTTTTAGTACAACCTTAAAGACATTTTCAGTCAAAGCTTTCTATGGGTAGGGATGTTTTTAATTAACTTCTACAATGGCTTCAAGGCAGGTCTATTCTTGTGAAAAATAAGATGGCCACTTGAGATTTTAATGTTTTTGATAAATATGTTTGTTCTTCATAACTACTTTCTTTTTCTTTTCCTTTATTAGGAAACTCTGAGATTTCCCTCTTGCTGGCTAATGGTGACACAGGAGCATGAAAGGCACAGATGCCTTCAGTCAGGGTTTAGTATTATTCCTAGTACAACATAAGCACACAATAAGCATCTGAAAGAATGAACAAGCGCGTGCCTGTAATCCCAGCTACTCAGGAGGCTGAGGCAGGAGAATTGCCTAAAGCCAGGAGGCGGAGGTTGCAGTGAGCCGAGATCGTGCTATTGCACTCCAGCCTGGGTAACAAGAGCGAAACTCCATCTCAAAAAAAAAAAAGAATGAACAAACCACCTTCAGCCTGAAAGAGAACCCCTTTTACCTAGGGTCCTACATATTTTTAAAGCCCTGAAGAAGAGGTCTTCTACAGGCTCTTGACTTGAGAGAGTTCAAGAGCCACTGCCACATGAGTACTAACTTTTAAGCCTGTGGCTAGAGGTGGAAAATGACAAAAGGAGCAGCCTCCAACCCAGTTTTGGTGCTCCTAATGCCTACATGGTGCTTATTGTCAAACTGTTTTTCCTTTTCTTTAATGAATCATTATATGAATTTAATACAGGACCATGTCTGTTATTCATTCATTTGTTCTTTCATTTATTACTGATTGACTACTTATAGTATGTCAGGCACTATGGATATAAAGACAAAAAGCAAACTACCCAAGAAATGTACATCACAATGGAAGAAGGCATAAATGATTTGTTTCTCTGTGACAAAGCGGTGCTATTATAAATAAGCAAAGCGTTCTACGGGAGCAGACTATGGGTCAGAAATTAGTTTCTTAAAAAAATATTTTTGATGGCTGCTGGTCAAAGGTATATGATGTATAAAATGTGTACAAATTTTCATGAACTTGTAAAACGTATACTTAGCCAGTTTTTAGTTACTGTGTTCATTATAGTAGAAAATGGAACTTACATAGATAGTTGAAAATTCAGGAACTCCTATTACTATCAGTCTGTTGCCCTAGCACATCATTTATTCATTTTGCCAATAAGGAGTAAGGTTGATTGGCTTGAGTTTTATTTTGTTTCATTTCCCTTGTACAGTCTTTGTTGTATAGGCTGTAATGAACACTGATGTCAGGCAGTCATAATGGGGAGAAGAGATTTGGGCAATCCATTGCTTAAGTGAATTGATTTCCAATGTGCAGTGTAAGAGAAAAATAACATTTTAGGCCAGGTGCAGTGGCTCACGCCTGTAATCCTAGCACTTTGGGAGGCCAGGGCAGATGGATCACCTGAGGTCAGGAGTTCAAGACCAGCCTGACAAACAAGATGAAAGCCCGTTTCTACTAAAAATACAAAAATTAGCTAGGCGTGGTGGCAGGTCCCTGTAGTCCAAGCTGCTTGGGAGGCTGAAACAGAGGAGAATTGCTTGAACCCGGGAGGTGGAGGTTGCACTGAGTTGAGATTGTGCCACTGCACTTTAACCTGGGTGACAGACTGAGACTCTGTCTCAAAAAATAATAGTAACATTTAAAACCACCTTTAGACCGGACATGGTGGCTCATGCCTGTGATCCCAGCACTTTGAGAGGCCAAGATGGGAGGATCACTTGAGCCCAGGAGTTTGACACTAGCCAGTGCAACAAGACAGGACCCTGTCTCTACCAAAATAAAAAATAAAAAAAAAAAGAAAATTAGCCAGGCATGGTGCCATGCATCTGTAGTACCAACTACTCAGGAGGCTGAGGCAGGAGGATCACTCGAGCCCAGGAGTTTGACACTAGCCAGTGCAACAAGACAGGACCCTGTCTCTACCAAAAAAAAAAAAGAAAAAAGAAAATTAGCCAGGCATGGTGCCATGCATCTGTAGTACCAACTACTCAGGAGGCTGAGGCAGGAGGATCACTCGAGCCCAGGAGTTTGAGGCTGCAATAAGCTATTATCATGTCTCCACACTCCAGCCTTGGCAACAGTGAGACACTGCCTCTAAAAATAATAAATAACACCTTTATTGAGGTATAATTTACAATAATAAAATAGACTCCTGTTGGGTGCACAGTTCAGTTCATTCTGTCAAATACACCATGTAAGTACCATCATAGTCATGGTAGATAACATCTCATCACGGCAAAGTTCTCTTATATGCCTTTGCAGTCAAAGGCAAAAGCACCAACCCCAGCCTCAGGCAACCACTAATCTGCTTTCTGTTACTATAGAGTAGCATAGTTTTGCTGGTTCTAGAATTTAAATCAAACAATGTATACTATTTTGTGTCTAGCTTATTTTACTCAGCATAATGTTTTTGAAGTTGGACCATGTTGCATAGATTTTGAGAATGTTCCTTTTCATTTCTGAATAGTATTCCATTTCATGGAATTTTTAAATTTTTTGTTTTTTTGAGACAGGGTCTCACTATCTTGCCCAGGCTGGAGTGTAGTATTATAATCATAGCTCACCACAGCCTCAACCTCCTGGGTTCAAGTAGTCCTCCCACCTCAGCCTCCTAAGTAGCTGGAACTAAAAGCATGTACCACCACACTTGGCTAATTTTTAAATTTTTTGTAGAGACAGAGTCCCACAATGTTGCCCGGGCTTGTCTTGAATTCCTGGGTTCATGGGATCTTCCCACCTTGGCCTCCCAAAGTGCTAGAATTATAGGTGTGAGCTGCCAGATCCAGCCCCATTTTTAAGATTTATCAAAATGTTTATATTCATTTATCAAAATGTTAATATTCACAGAGATATTTTGGCAGGTAAGGTGACTGAGAGCTCTGACATGTTCCGAGAAAACAAGGTTTTTCAGAGTTTCCATCAGATATAGCTTTGACTAAAAAAAAGGGCAGGCAATATCTTGCGACTTTTTATTTGTTTCATTTGGGGATTCGTGACTGCCACCTCAGATGTTAGATGGTTCTTTATGAATTAATGGGAGAAATGGGAAGAATAGAAGTCTCTATTGAGTAGGAGAGTAAACTAAGACCACATGCCTGTGATGACAGTTTACAATGATTTGTGTGAGTAGTTACGTGTATATTTCCTAATATCCATATTCAAATTATGGATATTAAAAAAGGACTGAAACTCTAGTTCTCATTTTCCTATTTTCCAAGATAACCTGTTGATGGGCATTTGGGGTTTTATTTCCTGGTTTGAGCTGTTAGTAATTAATAAAGCTGCTGTGAACATTCATTTACAAATCTTTGTGTAGATATATTTTTATTTCTCTTGGGTAAATATGTAAGAATGTAATTGCTGGGACACAGCGAGTATATGCTTAACTTTATAAAAAACTGACAAACTGCCAAAATGTTTGTACCACTTAAATTTCTGCCAGCAATATACATATGTACCTAGATTGTTTTCTCCAGCCCCCTTCCTCAGTGCATAGTTATGTTGCCTAACTATGACCAGCCTGTCTTCATCCCAAAGCTTGGCAAAACTGAGTCTCAAACCCTATAACTATAAGTCTTGTCTCTTTCAACAGACAAGAAATGTAGTTCCAGGAACCTGCTGCTTTTACACTGTTTTCTTATTTTGATTTACCTTACTGCTCTGAGTGCATTTTCTCATATTGCCTTACTTATTACTTTGAATCTCTTAAAACATTATTGCTTCCACTCTCAGATTCCTAAGACATTACTAATTCTACCTCCCATAGTGTGACTTTTCCTATTGACCTTGTGGAAGAGGACTGGGAGCTCCAGTCTCTGGGCTTTTACAGCAGCCTGAGACACGTTTGCCCCAGAACAGGACCTGATTGACAGATTAGCAGAACACTCATTCCTCTGAGCTAAGGGGCTAAGGATTCACAGATGAACTGTACCCAGGATTTAGGAAAGTACTTAATTCTATTCCTGTGCATATGTATCAGGTCCACAAATCTATTCATTAATGGTAGACTTGTGCTTATTTTGTAAGTCTGAATAGATATGTAGGTATACATATACCCTGACATTCCAGTCTCCATTTGTATTCACTGCATTGGGAATTTATATTTTATGTATCCATGCATAAAGTGCCTAGTTTAGTGTTATACAACCTCTGGGCACTCAATAAATATTAATTGAATTGAAATAATGGCATCCCTTATAAATATTCATAAGCAAATAAAACTATCTAAATATATGGAGTATGAAGTACTCCTCTAGAAATATTTGAGTTAAAATGATTAAAAAACCAGCGTAGTGATTTCATTATGTGACAATATAGGTATTGCAGGAGCTATTCCCTAGTTGTAAACAGTATCCTGAGGAGAAGTAAATACATATATATAAATGTTTTTTAATATATAATTTAATGTAGTTATTTTACTATACATCAAATATGAGGCTATGTCTCATGGGCTAACAAGAATTAACTAGATGGATGGATGGATGAAATTCACTTCTGGCAGAAATCTTTGAAGGCTTTGCGTAGTTAGTAATACTTATGAAGTACCATCTAATCAAGTAGACTAAAGGACTTAAAGCACAGCTGATAGATATAGTAGAGACTTGATCTGGCCTTCTGCCATTGGGGAAAGAAGAGAATTATCTTTACTGCATAGCTGTTCTTCAACTTCAATACTAGGGCTGCTCAGACTGGTTAGTTGATGTACTTCATTTCTGAGTATATGAGATTCAGCTGACTTTAGATGGCTAGCATGGTCAGTCTGTCTTTGAGATGTGAAATGTGCATCATGCTTTCTTGTTGATTCCAACTAATGTAAAAGTGAGAGCAGTTATGGGGCATGGCTGGTTATATATATATTTTTTGGAGTTGGTTAATCTGTGGCGAGGTAAGAGTGCCAAGTACCCAATGTTAAGAGGCATATCTCAGCTACTCAACCTACCAAAAATGTTTCCAAAGAAATCACATTTGTGAAAAAAAGCCCCTCTAGGCAGCTGTCTGATATTTTTTCTGTCTCTTAACTCCCCATGCCATTTTTTTTTTCCTGCAGATCATGTTTCAGGCATATGGAGACAAACAGGGACCACTGCATGGAATGTTAATCAATACTCCTTATGTGACGAAAGACCTGCTGCAATCAAAGAGGTTCCAGGCGCAATCCTTAGGGACAACATACATATATGATATCCCAGAGATGTTTCGGCAGGTAAGGTGCCTAACTGGAGGGTCTGACATGTTCTAAGGAGGCAAAGTTTTCCTGAATTTCCATCAGATACAGCTTTGACTAGAAGGGGGCACTCCAAAGGGCAAGAAATATCTTGACACTGTTTTCTTTTTTATTTCATTTGAGGGTTGGTGACTGCCAACTCATAAACTGGATGATTCTTTGTGAATTAATGAGAAGAATGGTGAGAATAGAAGTCTCTTTTGAGTAGGAGAGACTAAACTAAGACTATATGCCTGTGGTGATAGTTTACAGTGACTTGTGTGAAGAGTTACATGTATATTTCCTAAATCTGTTTTCAAATTATGGATATTAAAAAAGATCTGATACTTTAGTTCTGATTTTCCAAGATAACCCTGGTTTCTAGTTGATAGCCTAGATTAATATGATGAGAATCAATATAGATAGCATAGACAATGGATATAGAGTTCATAGTACACAGTTTAAAGTATAAGTTCTTTTGTGGGAGGTTTATTATAGCTGAATAAAAACTAGCATGAGAAAATATGTAATGAATCTGAACCTCGATATGAAAATAAATTCCTTCAATCTGTATGGTGAATCATCTCTATGCTGCAGATTTTTCTTCTATCAATAGAAGGCAAGGAAAGACTATCACCAGTAGAAAATGCAACCAATAAATAAGGTATCAAAAGAATACTGAATTCATTCTTTTTTAAAAAAATCTATGAATATAGGATTTTTCCAGGTCTCCTAGTCAATACTACCTGTATCACCACATTTTGAATTTTAGTAAAGTAATATATGTAATCTTAGTAAATAGTCTATGTAGAATTCCTGTGTTATTCACAGATATAAGAGATTACCTTTATGCAACCATTTGTTTACAAGTTCTGTATCCTGTAAAAGTCTTTCATTCAGTATTTCCCTTTTATAGCATTGCTAGCCTAAAAGCTGAATGACGCTTCTGTTTCCCAATGCCAGTGCTATAAATAGAAATCACATTCGATGTAATTCTTCCTATATAATAGACATAAACACAGTGATTAGGATGCATAGGTATGCATGAGTCATTTGAGCTTTAAACGTTGCTTTGAGGCAAGCAAAGAAAGAGCTGAACTAGCTCCCACTTCACGAGGCATTTATTTATAGGAAGTTGGAAATGGAAATCATAATTTTTAAATGAATAGGTATGTCTGTTTTTTCAAAATTGAGCAGAATTGATCTGCGCATTTACAAATAGTCATACATATCGAGTGAGCTAATTCCTGTGTATATAGCTATGAAAAATATTAGAGGCTGGGCCCAGTGGCTCACGCCTGTAATCCCAGCCCTTTGGGAGGCCAAGGCGGATAGGTCACAAGATCAAGAGATTGAGACCATCCTGGCCAACATGGTGAAACCCTGTCTTTACTAAAAATACAAAAATTAGCTGGGAGTGGTGGCGTGCACCTGTAGTCCCAGTTACTCGGGAGGCTGAGGCAGGAGAATCTCTTGAACCTGGGAGGTGGAGGTTGCAGTGAGCTGAGATCAGGCCACTGCACTCCAGCCTGGGCGACAGAGTGAGACTCAGTCTCAAAAAAAGAAAAATATTAGAAATAGGTTTCTTCCCTGGAACCTCTAGTAGAAACTTCATTCTGGCCCTCTTGGATTTTCATTTTATTAGCTGACTGTTATGTCATTTTCCTGGATAGTCCTCTGTTGTCAAGTTTCTTTAAGATTTTCTTTTTCCTTGTTTTAAGGGGTTGATGCTCCTTATTTAGTTTTTTAATTTTAATATTCTTAGGATAGTGTTAGGTCTTTCCTGTTTGTTAATGCACTCGTGCTGATTTGGAATCACTCAGTATTTTGAGTTTGTTGGCAAAGTGCCTGACTTTTGACATGTAAAAAATAATTACAAATCTATCTTAACTGAGAATGGGAGCTGGAGAATTTAGTCTAATGTTTAGACTCTGTGGAACACTTTGAAAAGAAAGCAAACCAGATTGACTCTTAATAATTATTTTTGTCTGTATTGAAATTATTGTCACTGATCAGTCAAACTTCTTTTCTCCACTAGTCCCTGATCAAACTCTGGGAGTCTATGTCCACTCAGGCCTGCCTTCCAGCCGCTCCTCTGCCTTCTGACATGCTGACGTACACCGAACTAGTATTGGATGACCAAGGTCAGCTCGTCCACATGAACAGGCTTCCAGGAGGAAATGAGGCAAGTAGTTGAAACACCTCTTCCCTTTCTTATCTCTGTGCTCACTAGTACCAGCTTTCTGTGAGGTGGTCATTAAATAGCACTGCAGCATAGTAGTCTTGTTGGGAGAGTTCTTTAGAGAGAGCATTGACTGGGTATCAAGAAATTATTAATTTTCTAGATGTGATAATGGTGTTGTGATTTTGCTCTCTAAAACAGTATTGTTTTAACACAAAGAACTCAGTTAAAAAAAAATAAAAAGGAATGTTATTTTCTTTTAGAGATACAGACTAAAACATTTACAGATACAGTGATTTGCTTCTAAGTAAAGAGGTGTGGGGTGGGTATATAGATGAAATAGGGTTGGTCATGAGTTGATTGTTGAAGCTAGGTGATAGGTACATGAAAATAGATTATTTTCCCTGTTTTTGTATATGTCTGAAATTTGGGATTTTCTTTTTTTGAGTTAGTGCCTCACTGTCACACAGGCTGGAGTGCAGTGGCACAATCTCAGCTCACTGCAGCCTTGATCTCCCCAGCTCAAGGGATCCTCTCACCTCAGCCTCCTGAGTAGCTGATACTACAGGTGTGCACCACTACACTTGGCTAAATTTGGTATTTTTTACTTAGAGATGGGGTTTTACCATGTTGGTCTCAAACTCCTGAGCTCAAGCAGTCTGCCTGCCTCAGCCCCCTCAAAGTGTTGGGATTATAGCCGTGTACCATTGCGCCCAGCTGAGATTTTCTATAATGAAAACATTTAAAGTATTGTTTTGCCTAATGTTTTTTCTTATTTGGATGCATATTAATAAGTGCATTTTCCAGTGTCTTTTTCCATGTGCAATCCATGTGAGCATGATAAACATGTTCTTGAAGGGGCTCAATCAGAATTGGGTTTAAACATAAAAGAATGTACCAGAGAACCCATTTTTTGATAATTATCCCAATAATGCATTTTTTAGTCTTGACATCCTTTCTCTCAGAGTGATCTGTAAATAGTGTATAAAGTCATATTCTGCCCTGTACTCTTATACCCTTGTCCATGTATTATTACGATTCTTTCTGATTTTAACTATGCGCCAGTAACAAATCTAAAAAGAGAACTATTTTTATTTCAACCTTAAATATAATCCCTACCTAAATTTCATTCCATTGAAGGAGAAATCTTTAGCTGTGTGTTCACCATAAATAGACTGGGTAGACTGTTGAAAATGATAAGCAGTTTGTTTCTATTTTGTTCAGTCTTTTTCAAAAAATTTCATCACATGTACAAGGTATGTGGCTATTTCAGTAATATACCAGTGGATGCCAACAGTAGATGATTTGGTATCAAGATGGATGCAAGCACTAGACCAGATGGAGAGTAGCAGACTTGTAAGAAGAGCCTCAACAAATAGCAAAGTCAAGAGGATGGGGTGGGAGGATGCAAAACATTTTGACAAGCATAGATATATACTCGTCAGCACACAAAGTTGAAGCAGAGGTTTGTGCCACAGCATGTAGCATCTGCCTAGTGAGCCCCTCAGCAGCAAAGAAAAGCTTCATTGTGATAGACTTAAATTTTGATTCATTGAATAGTGTCGTCTTCAGGAATGGAAGGTACTCTTGTGAACATGGGGCTGAGAGTAAAATGGTTTTAACTAATGTAATTAAAACGCAAAATGAGATTTTTGGCCATGTGAAAGCTAGCTGCAGTGCTGTGTGAAACCCCTTGCCATGATCTTTCTCTCCTGCTTTCTTTCTGCTCTCATTCTGTATTTGAGCGAGTGGAGACTGGGGGAATAGTGAAGTCCCAGAGGGACAGAGCTCTGTTCTTGCTGAAATTACAAGCACAGAGCTGCCTGGGCATGAACATGTAGTGTTTACTCTGCCAGTATGAATACAAATAGTCTTATTATACGGGACTCTGTACCCAAAGACCACACACACACACACACACACACACACACACACACACACGAATTTTTTTAAAAATTAAAGGTTTTTTTTAACCCTTTTAAGACCTAACAAACCTTAGTGGAAAAGATATGTCTTAAACAGTTGCCTAGGATGATAGAGCTATAAGTAGTAGCAGATCTAGTATAGGAGCCACATGTTTTCCTTTGTCCAGTGCTTTAATTGTTTTGAAACCAGAAAGCTAGTAGTATTTGTTCAAAAGATTTTGAGTTTTTGTCAGTTCTCACTTTCTTCTTCTACAGTTTTCCCTCTTTAGTTGCCTATTTTCTTTGTTCTCTTTTTCTTTGCTTCAAATGATTGACTAGGATTGAGTCTGAGTGTTAGCTTGCTGTTTCTGAGCCTTTGAGCTTGGGAGGAGTGAGATTGATGTTCTTTTGTGAGCAGTTAGTGACTAATATTAGCCCAGGATGGCTGGTGAAGTCACTCAGTGGCCTTAGCTAGATTATAGGGCACTGCACGACAGGAATGAGGTTGGGGTATTAGTATCAAACTCTGCTACCAATAGCTTGAACATACAATGGATCATGTCCACTGAGAGACTGACCAGTATTAGGATGGAGTTTCGGCAGTCAGAACTCTGAGGGACAGCTGTACCTAAGAGATGACGAGGTGTCAGTAGGATGTATTTCCTCATGCTGAGCCCAGTTTTATCAGGGCAAGTTGACTTTCGGCTATTGCAGTTTAATTTTCTTTGGCCAAAGAGCAAGTTTGTCATGAGCCTGGCACTCTACGTATTACCCCAAGAATGATGTGAGGGGAATGAAAAGAGCTCATGTTGATGAGATTTGGAGCAAATCTGTCCTGTCCCAAAGAGAATGGGCATCTGAACAGAGCCTTGAGAAATAGTTTTATTAAAAAAGGAATAAAAAATTGACCTGTTAATGTTCTGAGAGCCAAGGCTCAATGTAAATGCATTGGTGCTATATAGACATTAAATCATCATAATGTGGTGTTCTACCAAAAGTGATGGCTCTACCAGGTCATCATTGTGGGTGGTGTTGCATTACCTTGAAGGATTGGAGTTTCTGGGTTTGAAAGCTAACACATGGGATATAAGGAGTAAGGGTAAAACAAGAGATTCCTGCAGAGTTTTCCTGTGAATTGAGGTGCTTTTCTCCATGATCAAAGGCAGAAAACCTGCACTTACCAGATCATTGGCTATAGGGGTGGCCAGTCTTTCTTTCTTTCTTATTTATTTATTTTTTTCCAGGACAGTAAACAGGTAAAATGGTGATGGGACCAGGACTTGGACCAATTCAGTTCCATTTAGTTTTAGGTAACTTCTTTGCCATTTGAGGAGGAATATTGGCTGTTTCAGTAGAGATGTGACCTGCATTTTGAACATTTATGCCTGTGTTTAGAGCAGGAGAAAGAGCTTTTCTGATATGATATTAGCTACTCTCCCCTTTCTATTTTCCTAGTTGTCCCTTCCCCATAAAGAAAGGTGTAACTAAAGGAATGCCACCTAATGCATGATGAAAGGTATAGAAGAGCACATTTTTCTCTTTGTCATATTTGTATGGCATTACATTTAGTATGAATTTAGAGTAGGAATAAAAAAGATGTAGACCAAATCTGTGAACTACGTTACTTGCAAATAGCTCCAAAGATTAGTTGTCCAGGATTTTTCTTAATAATTTCAAGTAAAGATGACGATTGAGGAAAATGTGATTGCAACATAGACTAAACTGATCTCATTCTAGCTGCTGTGATGCTACAGTGATGGCTGCTGTATGTAAATACACAGCTAGATGAATGTGTGCTGCTGAGCCTGGATACAGAAGAAATGCAGCTGTCCGACAGTTCTACTTTACCACTTCTTGATTTTGGAGGAATTGTTTTCATTTTCCTGCCAGTTTGCTAACCTCTTTTGATCATTTGGTGGAAGCTATAATTGCAGGTGGGAACATTTTGAGTAACAGTTCGCAATCCAGAGTGCAGCTGCTTTTCACACTAAATCCTATTATTAAAAAGCTCAGGCTAAGATCAAGCCAAGGGCTGTAACGGACTAGACAGAGAACAACTTAACTTTACCTGGTAGGACAAAGAAAATACCAGCCTTCTTGAGACTGTGCTCTTATTTGTTCTGACATAAGTTATTAGTATTCTTTTATTTCTGTTTATCAGTTCTGTGAACTAGACCAATAATCTCTAAATTGGGCATTGCTGAAAGATGCGTTAGAGAGTCAGTTACCATAGTAGCTTTAATGATAGAAGAAATTAGGACCCTGTTTTTCTTTACCATTTCAGAACATGGGCAGCTTTTTAACATTCTGTCTTACCATGCCTGTCATAATGAAAAACAGACGAGAAGACGATGTTGTGATGTTGTATTTGGGAGCAGTTGTAATAATTAGGTGCAAGATGTATACCCAAAAAAGGGTTGGTACTAAAGACCAGAATTCTTGATATAAAAGTTTTTCTGGGAGAAAAGTATATTGAAAATTGAGTCCAATTTGATAGTTACCTCTACGCACACTACCACTCTTAAGAATTGTGGTAACTCTAACGCTTCATTTTTTCAGGTGGGCACTAGGTGTCAGGGTTTTTCCTTCTCAGCAGCTTAGCATTCTCACAAGCCTCTTGAATTGCCTTGTTTGTTGAGGCAGATTCACTGGTGTCCTTTTTTCAGTTGGTATAGTAGCCTTTACATAGTGTTCCTACAGTAAGCAATTGCAATTTTAACTCTTTGGTTGAAGATCTGTTGAACCTTGCATCAGGGATCTACATCTTTTTTTAAGGAGAAGGTTGACTGAAGGTTTACACAGTAGTGTAAATTAAAGTTTAAAGACTAGCTGCCACCCAGGCACAGTGGCTCACGCCTGTAACACTTTGGGAGGCCAAGGTGGGTGGATCACTTGAGGCCAAGAGTTTGATACTAGCCTGGCCAACATGGAGAAACCCTATCTCTACAAAAACTAACCAGTTGCCTGTAATCTCAGCTACTCAGGAGCCTGAGGCACAAGAATCTCTTGAACCTGGGAGGTGGAGGATTCAATGAGCCAAGATTGCACCACTGCACTCCAGCCTGGGTGACAGAGACTCTGGCTGAAAAGAAAAAAAAA